CCGTACGGGACTCGCCGATTCACTGTACGGACTCGCCGATTCCGTACAGTGAATCGGCGAGTCACTGTACTGAATCGTTCGGTTCTCTCTAGAACCGGACGATTCCCTTTTTTTTCGCCGATTCGATCCGTCCATGGCGATTTCCGAGTCGAACCGGGTAAACACTGGGCAAAACCATGCATGCATTGGACAAGTTCGTGAAACATGGAGGCTCCCATGGTTTCGATCGTCTTGTAATATTAATTCTCTCTCTCTCTCTCTCTCTAGGATCCAGCTAGGTGCCATATAATAGTTCCCAAATGTGAAGAGAGCCTTCTAAGTTTTGGTAGTGCTTCCTAAAAGGTGCTTCCTTATTTCATTTTAGCAATAAATGACTGAGTTAAATAACATCTTCATCATCATTATGGCATTTTTTCAATTAATTGGGGTCGGCTACATGAATCTTGGTCCGTCTTTTTGTTATATTAAAAGCCATACACTTAGTGAGGTTATAAGTCCCCATATTATTTCAAACTACTATCAACCACATCCTTTTGCGCTTAAGTCATTTCACTTGGACTAACTCATACTTCCGAACAGGTGTTTTACTTGGTTGGCGCCACACATAACTAGCCCACCTAGGTTTACTATCTCTCATCTTATCGTCTATTGGTGCCACACCTAAATTCTCTTGAATGGATTCATTTTGAATTCTATCCCTTCTTGTCTTGCTACTCATCCATCTCAACATCCTCATCTCTACTACACTCATTTTATGGGCATATTATTTGTTGTCCGCCTAGCATTTAGCCTCATAGAATAAAGCTGGTTTCATAGATGTCTTATAGAACCTGCCCTTCAGCTTCATTAATATGCAGCAATCACTTAAAATTCTAGTTGCACATCTCCACTGGCCTACCTAGCTCTAATTCTGTATGTGATATCTTTATCAATCTCTCTATTTTCCTGGATTACCGACCCAAGATATCGAAAGTGCAGTATTGTTTTGTACTTATTAGCCATCAATCTGAACTACTTCTTCGTCTCTACTTCTATTATTACTAAACTTGCATTCCATATATTATGACTTAGTCTAGCTAATTTTAAAACCTTTAGATTCTAGAGCATCCCTCCAAAGTTATAACTTTGTGTTTTTGTCGTTTTGGGTCTCATCGATCAAAACTATGTCATCTGCGAATAACATGCACTACAACTATGTCATCTGTGAATAACATGCACCACTGTACCTCTTCCTATAGGTTCCTAATTAAGTCGTTCATAATAATGACAAAGAGGTACATGCTCAATACTGACCCTTGATGTAGACCTATTATCACTAAAATTCACTCATCTCTCCACTGTTTGGAGACTCATTTTTTTTCTAATACTTGCCAAAACAAATCTCGAGTTACTCTACCATTAGCTTTATCTAGATCAATAAAGATCATGTAGAGTTCTTTTCCCTTCGCCCTAAACTTCTCAATCAGTTGTCTAATTAGGAAAATAACATAAGTTGTTGACCTTCATGGTATCAAACCAAATTGATTTTCAGATACACTCGTTTCATGCCTTTATCATTACTCAATCACTCTCTCCTAGAGCTTCATAGTATGAGTTATATGCTTGATCACTCGATAGTTCGCACAATTCTGTATGTTTCTTTTGTTTTGTAAATAGGAACCACAATACATTTCCTCTACTCGTCTGGTTTTTTCCTTGTTCTCAACATCATGTTTAACAACTTCGTTAGCCATTCAATGCCAATCTCGCTAGTTAATGCCAATCTCCCCCATGCACTTTCAAACCTCTACCGGGATACCATATTTAAACTTTCCACCTTTCATTGATCTCATCATCTTTCACTAAGACCCTTTGATCCTCACTCTTAAAAAGAAAGAAATTTTTTCTCATATTCATCACAATAAAATAAAATAAAATAAAATAAAAATAAATAAATAAATAAATATAATATTAAAAACAATCCAACAAGCTCACCAAAAATATATATAATTAAAAAGCAAGAATCTATTTTTTCTCATATTCATTACAAATAATATATTTTTATAAAAAAAACATAATTTTATCAAGAAACAAATTTTTTTTTAAGAACCCTAAAATCGAGCCAAAGAACACTGATTCTTTAGATTCAAAATCAACCCCAAATCTTTCATTTTTTGAACAAATTGACAGGGGAATATGATAGATACTTCAATCACAATTAAAATGCCCCAAATATCATGAAGATCAATTCACAATTGAGATCATTCTTCAAAAAAATGGTGGATATTTCACTTCATGCAATTTTCAAAACAAAAACACACCAAAAACAAATTCATATAAATAAATATATTGAATGATAAATCAACATGCCTGATGTATTCGATTTATGAAGTCTTGATGATCAAAATTAACTAATCAATTCAAGAAAAAACGATCAATACGT